TATAGGCCACAATCAACAAAACACGAATAATCGGCATCCATGCTCCTCATATCCTTAGCTCCAAGATCTCAGAAGATTCTAACATGTGAAGCATAGATCTGTTCTTATTTACAGCAAAAACAAGAGACTGAATGTAAAACAATGTGTTTAATAAATCTGCAGGGCCTAAAGTACCAATATAATTCAGAGCAGCAAGATAGACACGCACTTCTTAATTAAGTGGGTGATGTTCTAGTTAAAACAAAAAGACAACCCAGGGCCATAGCTAAGATTAAGCACGCGCTCTTGCAAAGGAAGCTCCTACTATTATCAATATAAAGGCTTTAAATCACAAAAAATAAACCATCTAATAGTCTGTATTCAATAGTAAGTAGAAAGTCAGGACACAGACTGATTTGGATTAACACATTTTCAGTTATAACAAGTAATTTTACAGAGGATTAGTATCTTGATGGTCTGATCAATACTAGGCACTGCTGCTATTACAGATGAAGAGAAAATTACCCCTCCAGTAATAAAGTGTGTATGTCTTGGTTCTCCTTCATTTGCTGAGTCCATTACTGTAATGGTTCCAGCATTAGCAGCTGAGGCAATTTAAGCAGAAAGAATGTGATGAATTTAAAAGCAAGGAACATTTGCCACTCATTCTTTCTTGTATTTTATTCTGCATATGCAAGGCTTCTACCTGACCATTTCCAATATACAAGTCATGTGTTATGTGACTATCAACACTATTTCTTAATTATTGTCTCATTAATAATGGGAAGGGCCAATAATGTGATTACCACAAAAATTGCTACTGGCATATTGGCTGCTGATTCTGCTAAAACCTGCACACCATTTACCTAAGCAGAAATATGACATGACAAGAAGCATATTTAACTGCATCTAAGCTCTTTCAGTAACTTTAATTTTCGTAAATACAACTTCTAAAAGAATCTATTTAATCTGTCAATTAGAAATTTTTACAGTTTTCTATCTTAAGAGGCAGAACAATGACAGGTAACAAGAAGTTACATTTGAACGCACTATGATAAGACAATGCTATAGTTAATATACTACTAGGGTGACATTTTTCAGCATCAATCCTAAAATCATCCCCCTGCTCTTCAGTGCTCTGAGACTACTTGCCTATTTTTCCCTGAGAATTAATATGTTGAAGCAACCTATTTTATCTCATAAATATATATTATTTTCCAGCCAGCAAAAACGAGGAAGATGCAGGAAATAAGACTTTTCATTGAAGTCTCAGCCAAAACATTGCATATTCCCTTTTCTTCCTTATAAATAAAATACATGCAAAGCTTTGTGTTATTTAAAGCTTTATATTTCCTTGCCACTTTGTCTAACATGTCTCACAAATGTGAAATTGCACATGAATATCTTTGTAAAAGCCCTTGTGAATATTCAGATATGGGCATATTGATGCATTTATTATTTGTATAGCAATAACTTTATTGGATTGAGGTCCCAGCTGTGCTGGGAGCTGTACAAACATAACAGTAATGTCTGTGGAATACATCCTCTGTAGTCAGTTCTGGTTTCACAGTAATGTGAATTAGCATAAACAGCTACATAAAGTAATTGTGAACTGGGCTTAGCTGTCTATTCCAAAGACCCATCAATGTAATCCTTTTAAAGTAAAAGAAAATAATACTCCAGTCTAGCTGAGCATCTTATCCTTCACACAGTAATGACATAGGATCTTAATATGCAAAGAGTGGCAAGAGGAAGCATACAACGGTACTTACTAGGACTTGGCATCTGTCACACTGAAACTTACTTAAAATAAACTTTGACTAAATAAGTCTTGAGAAGAGTCTTATATTAAAGATGCACTTGTTTAACTAACCTGTGAATATTAATCAAGATAATAAAAATTCTAAATGCAAAATGGCTTTCTTCCCAAGTTCAAAAGGAAAAAATATTCCAAGTAGACTACCAAATAAGAGGGTTTTGTTTGGTTTTATTTTATGTAGTATCTTTTCTTCACCCAGCAAAAGAAAGCTTACTGCAAACTGACCAAAACTCTGACCAACAGCGTAAAGAAAAAAAGTATCAAAATAACTAGAAACTGCACTGGTTCAAACCAAATTATAAGTTAAAACAAACAAACAAAACACACTCCCAATGAACTGCTTCATTAAAATGTCTTTCCAGCTAATGAGCAACATCTATTCTAACAGCTCTGTTTTTACACACAGAAGTAATATTTGCTATAGGGAAGACTGATAGCATGCAACATCTCTAAAGGTGTCCTTAGAAACTTAAGAATTATCATGTTTTGCTGTTCACTTAAGTCTCAAAGACTCCACAGGGCACTAGCATCCCCAGCATGGTGTTTAAGACAGCTGAGTAATTAACTTCCGGCTACTGTTTCTCAACTTTTTTCAGACCCTCTTCCCAGGAATGAGTTTGCGTCCTCCTCCTCTTGGGCTTGGAACACCAAATACTAGCATAAACAATTTCACTTCTGCTACACACTTAATCTTACTCAACCCAATTGAGTGATCCGCAAAGTGGAAATTATTGTATGACAGCACTGCACTCTGAAGAATTTCTACCACATGTACTTGGAACAGAAATGTTCTTCTTTAACAGCATAAATCAAAACTTGCTATACATATGAAAATTTGAGAGCTTATCACATATAAGAAACATACTGCATAATTACAAAGCAAAAGCCAATCACCAGGCTTCTGATAGATAGCATTTAACTGCACACAATTATAGCAAAACAAGAACTTTCATTCAGGATTTAATTCTCCAGAACAGAGACATTGCCAGAAGATACATAATCCAAACCAGCTTCTCTATCCAACCACTTCCCTCTCATTAGTAGGCCTCATAAATCTTACTCTCCAGAAGAGGTCGGGTTAACCTCACTAATATTTGGTTTGCTATGAAATATTTTGATCGGGACCTAAATGGAAGTCTTGGCAGAACTACTACAATAAATACACAATTCCTTTCCCTTCAGCATTTCCTAGGTGAGTAACATAAGCGAATGATGCTTAAACTTAGGGACTGAAGGGTGAACTGGCATAGTGCTGGAAGCCCAAAGATCACATTTCTAATTAAGTTGTATAAAAGAATACCAGTACAAGGGTGCTCCCATGAAAAGAAAGCATATAATCCTTGTTTAACTGCCCCTTCCTCTTCCCATTGCTGCCTTCTCCTTTGGCATTATTTATTCTAAGACCTTCTACAGGCTGTTTTTGTTTCACTTTCAATATACTCAAAGCTTCTCTCAAGTGGTACCCAACTTAAAACATGCCCCTAAGGCATCCTATAAGTATTCATATCTTTAAATTCTCAATACAGATCTCTTCTTAATTTCCATTCTTCTCTATCTGTGCACCTATAACAGCTAGGTATGCATAAGGCAGTACTTTCTCACTCGAGCTTCCTGGAGTTTTTTCTTACACAGTGCTCCTCTGATACCTCTTCACAAGTGCCTTGTCCTCCTACAACCTTTGCTGGTGTAGTTCACAGTTCCACCCTCCTACTCCCTTACACACATCCTTCGAATGATCTTATCAATGGCAATTGTTCTCTTCATGCAAATGATTCCTAAATAGGCTTGGGACATATTGCAAAGACAAAAGCTTAACCCAGCCTTGCATAGATAGTGTAAATGTACAGGCTAAAAAAGGTATGGGCTGGTTTTTTTCCTGCAACGTAATTACATTGGATTAGATAGGACAGCTTACACCTGCACGTGTTTTCACATAAATAGAAAGAGCAGAAGAGAAATGAAACATTGAAGTTACTATCCTTCAGCAGCAAGGGATAGCAGAAAGCCTAATTCCAAAATGACCAGGTAGGCCTTAAAGAGTTGTTAAGAGTCTTAATACTGTGAGCAGGCTTTAAAGTTTTTTTCCTATTAAAATATTTAGATGCAAACTTAGGTGAGAGCTTTTCCCTGCCCCTGTAGTGAGATAACTTCTAATGTTAAATAGTACATCAATAGCAATACCAAACCAGTATGCCACTGTGTGGAAAGACAGGTGAAGCAGGTTACCATCTCAGAAAGCTTTTACCAAGCTTATAATGGAATTAGCCACCTTTTCATCAAGATCACTAAAATCAGCATTATGCTTTCAAACAATTAAGTTACTGCTTTTCTGTACCACTATTTTGTAAAGAAAGTCAGCAGAGGTACAACTACCACCAAGAGCTGTAGTCAAGTGCTGTACATGGTAGAAACAAGCCCTTCAAAGGCACCTGAAACAGCGGAACATCCAGCCATGCTGTTTGCTTATACAAACAGTGCGCTTATATCTTCAGTATAAGCGTGTAACAGCATTGCATCTAAACACATTATCAAGAAAAGACATTGTTAAAAATGTTTATAAAGGTTTGGCTTGGAGTAGAGCAAGAGTATGTTTACATTTGAAGATAAAACTGCAGTTATGCATTATCTCACTGAGAATGTATTCACAAATCAAAGATATCGACTCCTATAATTTTCTCATACATATCTGCAGAACCGTCTTTTAAATTAAAATATTTAAGTCCAGGCAGTAGGAAAACTTTATTATTACCCGCTGTACTAGGTGACTGTCTTTAAAGGGAGAAGGGAACCTCAAGACTCCCAAGTTAAGGTGAGGGCGCTCTGCTCGCCGTCCATCCCACCCTCCCCGCACCTTCCCCCCCACCCCTCCGGCCCCCGGAGGGGCACCCACATACGGGGCAGGCTGCATCACAGCCCCTCCAAGGGAAGTGTTGAACCCTGCGAGGGCTCCGGCCCGGGGAGGCGCTACCGCCGGCCTCTCGAAACCGCTGCAGGGACGGGCGGGCGAGGCGGCAGCAGGGACCTCAGTGCCGGGGCTGCCCCCCCGCCTCCCCCCATTCACTTCACGGCGGCCTCGGAGCCCCCTTCACACGGGGCTCCCGCTCCAGCCCGGGCGGGCTCGCTCTGCGCAGCGGAAAAGAGCGGTGGCCACTGGCGAGCGCTGCCGGGGGCGGGCGGGGAGCGGGAAGCAAAGAGAAGGTACCTTCCATTCTTTCTCCCACTCCCCCGCTCTCCTCTTCATGGCGCCGCCTCAGCCGCGCGCCCCCCCTCAAGCGGCACGCGGCGGGAGGCGCCCTCCTCCACGCGCAGCTCCCGCCGGCCGCACCAGCCCGCCACGCCGCTCTCGAGGCGACTACAACTCCCAGCGTGCACCGCGGAGCGGGCGCTAGTTTAAGCTGGAGGTGGCCAGTCAGTCCCTTGTGAACTACAACTCCCAGCAGGCAGCGGGGCCCGGCTGTCCCCGGAAGTGGAAGGGCTCGGTTAGCAACGGGGGCAGTTGCTAACCGAGCGCTGAGAGGAGTCATAGGGCTGGCAGGGAGCTGTGAGTACGGGGGAGAGGTTTCCCCCCTCTGGGGGTACCGTGGGGGGGAGGACGGCCGTCCCGGAGCCGCCCAGGGGGATGCGGTGCCGTGTCCCGCAGCGGGGGGTGTCGCTGTGTAGCGGAGGTTGGGGCTCTCCCGCGCTGAGGGGGCAGCCCGGCCTGGGGTTGCGCTCCTGAAGCGGTTGCTTCACACCTCTGAAGCTTTCTTCCTCTCTCCCTTACAGCTCCTGGGAATAGCCAGGGTGCTCACCGGTTGTTTTAAAAGTAGCCTTCCTCAGGTGTGTGTGTAACGAGGCTGCTGGGCTCCAGCCGCTGTTCCCGTGTCCGAGGGCGGGAAAAAGCCGAGGAGGGGGGCGGAAAGGCGTTCCTTCCTGAGGCAAAGGCTGCCTTCCCACCCCCCGATCCCCCTCAGCCGACTGGATTGTCGTCAACACTGACGGGGCTAATGGAAAATTTGGAAAAAACTTCTAAGATATGTTGAAGGCGAGACACTGTTGGTTTGATACATGTTTTTTTTCGGTGTTGCAGTAGGACTTGCAGGTCTGAGAGACTTTTTTTCCCTCAGACTAGAGGAGGCTGTGGAGATCGCGTTTCCTAATATCCATATCCTTTCTCTTTTTTTTTTTTTCTTTTTTTTTTCTTTCTACCCCCTGAAACTCGCAACACTGCAACAGATGGTGTTGGAAAGATGATGTGCATGTATACTCCTACCAAGTAATGAATGAGATTATTTTAGATTACAAGCGCAATAGAGTGCAAACATCTATCTTTGAAGAGGAACGTAGACTGGAAATACTTTGTGATAGGCTAAGATAGGTGGGTGGTCGGTCTCTCCTCCTTTTCTCCTCCTTTTTTTTTTTTTTTTTTTCCCTTTCTTCCCTCTACCAGAGAAGTGGGATAAGATTTTGTAGGAAAAGCATCATCTTGGCCATGGCCAAGACTCATGAATTTCTAAATCTATATTGAAAGAATTAAGTAAGTGTTGTAATTCTTAAGATTGCACTAGAGGCTGTCCCTTCTAGACCCGCTGACTGAGAACTTCTTTGAAATTTAAGTATTCCCTCCTCAGTTTTGCTACATTTGTAAGATGTTGGGATAACGGTACACTTCTGTGAGTTATATAAGAATTTGGACCTAAAGCGTTAGGCTGGATACTTTAAGTGGTCATGCTCTTACTGTCTGTCTTGCATAACACTGCAAACTTGTATGTGGGGTTTTTGTAGTAATTTGTCAGATACAGGTGGTGATAGCACCAGCTTTGTAAGTAATGCAGTGTATAAGGAAGTTACAGTCACTTTAACTTCAGTAAATATACATAAAATTCTTGCTTATGCTAAACGTGAGATTCTTTTAGATTAGTCCCAGAGTTAAGGAAAACTTTCCTCTCTAAGTGAAGTTATTTTTCTTTAGGAACAAGAACTACTGAAGTGACTGTAATGTAACCTTCCTTAAAAATAAGATCTGTTTTAAGCTGTTGAGTTTCAGCATGGCATATGGATATGTCCAGATGCAAATACAAATTTATATCTCTTTTGCTTTATTATAGGAAATACTGGACTCTTAAGTACAATCACTTTTATAGCAGTGTTGCTGTACAATTTTGTCAGATTTAATCGCTTTGGAAATGCTTTCCAAAGAAGTAATATGGAACTCTGTGGAGAAATCTCATATGCTTTTAGAAATAATGCTGGAACTGTTGACTGCAAGGAAAGTAATTTTGTTTGAGTGTTTGTGATTGACACTCAGGTAATATTCAAAAGGTAACTGTAACATATGTAGCACATGATTTGCTGTTTGAAGTATCCTCTCTCCGAGAAGAAGCATAAATGATGATTGTTAGTGTTTATTAAAGACATAGGTGGATCATATGTTATTAATGAGGCAAATAAATTGCCAGGCCAAATTCTTAATCTGTGATTATATTTTTCCTCCCTAAAACCAGGACGCAGGTTTGTACTGTTTCTATTTAAAACACTCTTTTTCATAAAAACATTATTTTTTTTTCTTTTCCTGTGGCCCAAGAAAGAAAAGCAGGTTGAAGACTTAATTTCCATCGCTTTGTAATGAAAATGAAACAACCGGTTCTTCCTTTTACTTTTGAAAATTTCACCTTTCTAAGTTTTAAGGACTTTAGATTTATAACGGCTTTATTTTGTCGCTTGTCTTCAAGTCATGTCAGGTTGCCAGTTAAAGATGGCTTTCATGTCAGCCCTGCTACGTGTGTTTGCTTACAGCTTAAATATTTCTGTGGTTTGGCTACAGCCAGTAATGGATTACTACTGACAAGGGAGGGGTTGTTTATTTGAGGGACAAGCATGTGTTATTTTGTCTTTCTTTTTTAAATGAATGGATTTCTTTCACACTGAAAATAACAGGTAGATATCTGTAGCAAAGTTTCTTTAGCAAGTGGCAAATAGTGAATTCGGTAACATTTGCCTGTGCCTATTATTGTGCTGAAGTTTTTGAAGCTTGATTTTGATAGATTACAAACATTGTGGAGATGTGCTGATAAAATATTTGTTTAGCTCTTTACCTCTCTGAAATTTGCCAAAAAAATCTGACATTTTTGATTTGTAAAGACTAAGACAACCACATTCTAGAAAGACACATAGTGGTAGCGTCTTCTTCCTCCTACCATCATGAACCAAATTTGGATTGATCATCTAGAGGTAAAGGTTTTTGTTTCACTTCAGTCTCAGTTGCTCTAGTGATATTGATACAGTGACACATAATAACGACTGCAGTAATGAACCTAGACCTGAGTGAAGTCAATGACTGCAGGTAGCACTAATTTAAAAATTACCAAAAAAGTTTTGAGACGTTTGTGTGAGTAACACAAAAAGAGGTGAGAACAGTGAGGAGCTGGATTCCAGTTGATATGTATCTGTCATTAGAATGGTGCTGTTGATTACAGTGGCTGCGTGCTGTAGACCCCAACATCATGAAGCACTATCCTCCATTTCTGTGACTGACAGCATTGAAACTGCAACGTTATTGAGAACGTACAAGTGTAGATCAGATCATTTCAACAGTCATGACAAAGAAATATTTGTTCCACACAAAAGAAAAATGTGTTCACGTTGTTATAAAAAGTGAAAGGTGGAAACAATACTTTATCCTAAAACTTAATGATGAAAAAAACCTCTGAAGATGCAAAGCTAGATGGACTTGTTGGAAATTAAACTTCCATTAATCCTTTTCATTCCTTTTGGACAAAGCCATAAGGAGATTTGTTTATGAAAGAAGACTTTGCTGGTAGAAGAAAGGCTTATCTTTAGTAACGATTTTGGTTATGATAGAATTATTTGGTTATGATAGAACAGGTACTTCATGGAATGTCTGTGAATTATACTAAGTCACTTTTGCCCTCAGATACAGGTCTTTGGTAACATCATTGGTAATTTCCCAATGCTTGCTAGATGTTTTTGGATTCACTAAGGATTTGTATCACCTGAAGAGTATAATAATATGAGGAAAAAAAGACTGTACAAAGGACTTAATGTCTCTGTTTCAGTGCTCTTTCAGCCTTACTTGACTCTATGGCCAATGTCTTAATTTTCTGCACTGAAAGAGAAGAAAGAAACAATAGTTGTTAACAAGTATCTTCATATATTACACTGAAACAAATGTACTACTTTCTCACATTAATACTTTCCTCATCTCACTTTATGTAGCTAAGCTTTCTGTTGCCTCAAGAAAGAAATGTGTTCAGATTTATGAGAATCATTCATAGGGGAGTCTCTATCTTAGAAAGTCATTTCTCTTATGACAGTGATTGAAAGAAGACTAGGAGAGTGGTAGGCAACACCAAAATGACTTCATAACCCCCAGCACCTCTGTTTCAGAGAGTTCCATTCAAAATGTGGAAGATGGCATTTACTCATCTACCAGTTGAGGCCTTAAGCTTTGACCTGTCTTAAAATGAACAAACAATCAATTAAAAAAACAAACAAGAAACCCCGCATAGGTCCCCCTCCCACATGTACTTAGGAATATGGTCTTAGCCCAAAGATGGCTGAAGAACTAGAACTTAAAAAAGCTAATTCTTTATACATTCAATAAAATCAGAGCTATTGCATAGCGAAGAAGCCTTATTTTGTGCACAGATTAAAACTGGCATAACATTAAACTTGAAAGGCTAGATTGTCCTCTGAGCAATACAGTTGAGATGGGAGCATTTACAGTAATGTACAAGTCTGTGATTTCAGTGAATCTGTCATTACTTTTTCCTTCATTTTATAGGATGTATAGAAGTTCATTCTTGTCTTTGTTTAAGATACAGATGGAGAAGAATTTCATTTGAATTTTGTTATCCATAGATAAGTCATGTCTGTCCCAGCTGATGAAACTGTGGGGGACCTTCCTGTGAGAGATGTAGGTCTAACTCTAGCTGGAATTGGAGGATTGCAAGGTTGGTACCAGCTGCTACTTATTACAGTAACAGACTTTGATCAGTGGCTTCTTTAGTTTCTTTCTAAAAACGTTTCTGACATTCCCACTCAAAAAATTAAGTTCAAATACCATTCAAAATCTGGGTTAAATTCTGAAAGATACTGTGACCCATTCTGTGTGCTTGTTATAAGAGGGGAGTTGATGTGAGATACTAAAAACTGGAAATCTCTTTGAGCTGTGACATTCATCCTTCCAGAAGAAAAGAGGCCTTTTTCCTGAATTGAGGGCAAGGCCAGACCTGTTTAACAAAATGAGGAGCAAAAGTACTATGCAATTCAGACTCAGCTGCTATTAGAATGGAACTATTAGGCTTAGTCTTGTATACGAGTAAATTTACAGAATTATGAGTTAGTCTGTTCAAGCTTCAAGAGAGTATGTTAACTTTGAATCAAATTAGAAAGCATCTCTGTGGTAACGATCATCTTATTTTTTTAAGTAGATGTTTGACAGTACTTCTTTACTTGCTAAACTCTTTGTGTTGTCTAATAGATAAACGGTTTGCTGTATCATTTGAATTACATTTTTGTTTGTAAGAGGGAGGAAAAAAGTGATTAATAAGCCTCTAAATCTGAAAAAAAAATTATCAACAGACTCATACAAGTGCAAAATGTCAAATTCCTTGAAAATGTTTGTTTTTTTCCAGTAGTTCAAAATTACTTAGGCTTTGGATTACATGTTGGTGAATGTATTGAAGGTAACTTAAAGTTGTCTTGGTTTGGGTAGAAACATCAGCTCCACAGAATGCTAGAGCTCGACAGTCTGTATCACGAATCAGTCGAGAGGAACTGGAAGACAGATTTCTTCGTTTACGTGATGAGAACATCTCACTCAAACAGCATGCAAATAAGCAAGAGGAGAAAATTAAAAGGTAGGGGAGTCAATGTTTTTATTTTAGCTCACCGTAACATTTTTGCCCTTTAAAGGATTACTAGCAAAGTTTCAATCATGCTGATTTTTCTCAGAGCACTTTTTAAAGTAGTAGCAAATTTCCCTCAATAGAATTAATTTTTGTGTTGATTTCTGGTTGTGTCTGGTTGTGGGATATTTTTTGCAGTGGGCAGTATTAGATCCCCACGTACACCGCGACCCACCACTTCAGAGTTGGTGCCTTGGGTTCATAGTTATGCTGTCTGTGTACAAATGTAGCACGTATGTGTAACAAATATATATATATACAGTTCTGGGAACTGAAAAAAAGGTTATAGAAGCCTAATTATTCATCAGGAATTTCATCCTAGAATCAGAATGGTCCATACAGAGAGATTCTGTCCCATTTTTTGTCCTTCTCTGTCCCCAATGAAGTTGACTAGAGTCTAGCCTTTTATCATCTAGTTAATCCTGAAATATCTTTACAATTATGTTCAGCTCTCTTTTATTCAGAGTAATATTATTCAGGTTCATTGAAGAAGTCCTAAGTAGCACAGGGAGCACAGTTCACAGTGTACCCAAAAATGTGCAGGCAACTTTAAGTGTATTTTTAAACTTAGTGCTGTGCTGGCAAGCCAGCCTGGACTCAGCAGAACTGTTCATGGTATTACTATATTCCAGGAGGGCTAATTAAGCCAAAAGCACTGTGACTCTGGGTTCCCATCGTTCCCATTATGCTATACTTAATCTAATAGAATCTTGTTGCATCTAAGCTAGCTTCTGGTCACTTCATGAAAGGGCCTCTAAAGATACTGCCTCTGTAGATGGGATTATTTCATACTTTTCTAAAGGTATGAAAGTGAGTCAGGATCAAATTGACCAGTGTAACTTCCAGTTGATATAACTTCTGTGTTTTCTGTTAGGCTACTGTCAAATAGAAGATGGTGGAACAAATGAGTTGTTTGCTTATTCCAAATAGTATTTCCTGTATTTCTGTTAGATGACTTATCATATGCACTGATCAGCCACTTAGGTAAAATTACACAGAATGCCCAAATTAGAATACCTGAATTAAAAACAAAGAACAAAATAGAGTGTTTGTCTAGATTGCCAGAGAAAAATCTTAACTCCTCAAGCTGAATTTCTTTCCCAGCATCCCTCATGCCAAAACCCTTGTAACTAAAAGTTTGGAATGAATTTGCAGTAGAAGTACATTGAAAAAAAAAAACAACAAATAAACAGAAAACCTGCTTACAGGCAAGTAACATTCTGTGACATCCTAAAGTTATTACAGATTTTTTTTGTTTCACGTTTGTTCTTTTAAGTAGAAGCTTCTGTCCACAAGTATACAAAAATAAAAGAAGCCCCTTTAAACAAATGAAGTGTGTCCTTATTTTCAGTTTTCTTTCTGGGCCTGCAAAAATAGATTCCCTGTAAACTAGATACAGGTCTTGAAGATGTGCGACTAATTTTGTAAAGTCTTGAACTTGTCTCTCTCATCAAAGCCACCTTTTCTTTCTTTATATGCCAAGTTTTTTCCATTCACTGCTGGGTATGTTTTCTGTTCTTGTATATTACATCACCTCCATGTGCCCTCTCTGCCTTTTGTTCTAGCTTACCAATGTTTATCAAAACTAAAGGAAATCAAAGGTACAACTCTTGAGATGCCAAAAGCAAAATTTGTATCCTTTTAAAGATAGATGAAAACCATACCCTCTGTATCTAATTATATTCTTCAGCTAACCGTTCCTTCTCCAAGGCACGCTGGTAATATTTACCAAGTATAAAAATTGAGTATGGTAATGAGAACTATTAAGTCTCTTTTTTGGGGAGAGGAGGGGAGTACCTTCTTAAATATCTCCACCTCTGTATTTTAGCCACTTTGGAACTGAAATACATATTTAAATCCTGAAATCCTGGAAATTATATATCATTGGAATGTTGCATATTATTAGCATTCTTTCAATATTTGAATGTTTTGTGGAACTGTAGCTTTTATAGTTTGCCCCACCACATCCCAAATCTGTAACTTTACTTAACAGCATGCAGAGGTTCCTATAGAAGGTCATGCGTTAAAAATTACATTTAAGCAGCATATGGAGTAAATATGTGTCCTCCCTTTACTAACCTTAAATGATAAGCCTTAGGAAACTGTTATTTGTCAGTGCTATAAAGCAGATTGCTGCACAGTGGTTTCAATTATCTTCAAAGAGTTCTTCACAGGCAGTAATAGTTATATCAAAACCTGAAATTTATTATTCAGGTTCTACGCTGAAGTCTTCACAGTGATTATGTTCCTTTCAACAGAATGCTTTTTATGCTGACTTTTCACATTCTTTTTCATCTTTTTTTTTTTTTATTATTTTCCCCAGAATGGCCACCAAGTTAATACGGCTTGTTAATGACAAAAAAAGGTCTGACCAGGTTGGTGGCGGCCCCAAGCGGCTGGGTCAGGCTGTGGAGCTGGAGGAAATGATCGAGCGTTTGCAGGAGAGAGTTCGTGAGCTGGAGAAGCAAAACGAGAGCCTCCGCAGCAAACTCATTTCAACCAAACAGCAGCTCCAGATCCAAGGCCACGGGCCTTGTCCGTACAGTTATGTTCAGTCTCGTGTTAACACTGGTCTCAGGAAAGCCAGTGAGGCTGCTGGCACGCTGGAGCACGCAAAGAAAGGTATCATTCACCTTCATTAAAAGTAGTGGTTTGTATGGGTACTGCTAATTAGTGCTTCCCTGTAGTAAGTACGTACTCTTTTCTGTTCCTCAGTGGGCAATGCTACCTGTGTGCAGAGAGATTGTTCTTCCCCCCCCTCTTTTTTTTAATATTTATTTATAGCAATCATGATAATTTGTTTCCTTTTGAAGTCCTTATTTTGAGAATCCACAGTGGCAGGGGTAAAAGAAAAGTACGGATTTGGAAATAAAATAGTTATCAAGCAAGTTTTCTAACAGTTAAAATCATGGGACTTTCCTGGTATACATGTTAAAGGCTTATAAAAGAAGTATATGAAAAAATGTAGTGTTGTCATGTTATAACAAAGTTTTACATCTGTAGTTTGTTTGCACATGTTTTTCCTTTTTTAATTTCAAGGTTTGTTCTAGTCTCTTGATACATGTGTGCACAACACTGCAGACTTGAAAAATCTGTTACATGTGTGGACTTTCAAAAGCAAATACCACAATGCAGCCATCTTTAATGATGCTTTTTACTGTCAGGACTTACTGCTTAAGGCAGTCTTACTCTCCATCCTTTATTTATGGTAGCTACATTTGGAAATTACACTTTAAAACCTTTCTATTTTCATATCAACATTTGTAGAGGTAGTTGTGCTCTGTTAACATATACAGTACAGATAATGTGTTTTTTAAAGAAAATGCAGCTACGTTGGCCCTGATTCAAAACTGAGTCAGCAGAACTTTCTCCTTAACTTCTTCGAGCTATGGATCAGGCTGATGGCCAATTATATTGTGTTTTTTCTCCATCTCACCCTCCCACTGGTCCTTTTTCTTTTTTTTTAGTTAGGTTGATTATTCAGGTGTATGAAAACAGAAACAATTCTTGTGGTTTTAGACAGGCAATAAAAAGCAATTGGCTCTACCGTTCTGCTTCTTTAATTTGAATATAGTACAAGTTTTGACATCTTAAATACACCTACATTTTCACACATTATTTATTTCACACATGAATTAGGCAATTTTATTCCCCAGATCAGGAAAAGAAAAGGGCCAAGTTGTCCACAGAACATGCGGATCAGATAGTAGCATTGACAAATTTCACAGAGGTTCTAGTGTGCTTATCTCAGTTTTAAGACCTTGTCCAAACTGGATACACTCCGATAATTTCAGTGCTATGAATATGCAGTTTTTTGAACACAAATTTTCTAAAATGAAGACTACTGTTAAGAATCTAGTAAGCAATACTCAGAACTTAGACATAGTAACGTTGTCTCCCAGAAGGTCAGAGAATATTTTCTGTAGTCTTCATTGGCATAGGGTGTTCCATGTTTTTCTCTTGCATTCTTCCTCATCCTGCCCTTTTGATTAATGATGATAAACCCAGCAGTCTGGTGTGGGGTATGTGCCTCCTGTCTTTAAAGACTGCTGGGCTCTTAAATTGCTCCGTAGAACCATGAGGCTGAATCTCAAAACATTTTTAGTCTAGCAATTCTCCAAAAATAAAATGACTAACTGGAAAAATTTAGGAGAGCTTATCTGTCTCCAGGGTATGAAGAAGCGAGAAGAATCCACAAATAATAAATATAGCTTATTGTTCGGCTGCTTTACAAATACCAGGAATCCACAAATAATAAATATAGCTTATTGTATCTGCTTTGTGTTCGGCTGGTTTACAAATACCTTAGCAAGTTGATCGAAAAGATGTAGTCAAGTATGAATTTTCACTAAATACTCATTGATTTCTCTCATAACTTTCTTTATGGAGTAAAACCATCTAAGATATTTAATGATTTGAACAAAAATAAATAAAAATATACACTCTAGGCATATATATAAACATATGTATGTAGCATAATTACCATATCTTAGAGTAACACTTAAAGATCAGAATTCAAAATATATAAATGAATCAAGTTAAGTCAGCCCAAATGCAAAGTAGGTAAATTTTTTTCCATCATTTTGTGAACCTGCTGGCACTATTGTACCTTGAACCTAAATGACTCCATTTAGAGGAGTGAGAGATGGCAGCTGAAATGTTGTGTTTGAAATGTAATGATAGTTTAGTCCCACCTCAAAGCTTCATTAATTTCTTCTTGCTAAAGGAAGAGAAGAAGAAAGGTTTGGAGAAACCATTACTTTTACTCCTGAACTAACAATTCTTCCTTAAGTAATTTCTCACTTTTCTTCTCCACCAGCAATTCAGTATGCTTCTAAAGAACATAAGGAAATTATTTCCACTGCTGCTAAAAATGCTCCTAGTTGCTAGTCTAGGTAAATGACAGTTGTGATTTTGTAAAGGAAGTGCTATCAGAGAAAAAATGATTATAGGTCCATGTTCCTGTTTAATAATATTGATATTGTTCTTCTTTGAAGACACCATCTCTGTTCTCTGTCTTTAAAAGTAAAATCTTCTAAGGAAAACATTTCAAGACACATTTTTAGCACTTCTCTTTACAAGCGCATGCTGTATTCCCTATAGTTCAAATTTTATGGCAGGTACATTGTAGATACTCTGATTATCTTTTTCCGTGTGAATTTGATGTAAAAATACTTTTTATGGCATCTATATAGGAGTTGTAAGTGTTGGTATTATATAGAGATTATTGTTTTGTGAAATGTTTTTTCATTCAGTGTCACAAAAATTTATCTTGTCTTTGTTTTCAGGAATGAGATTTCAGGATTTAGAAGTGAGATCACCTAACCTTGTGCTCCCAAGAGATGGACAGAGTCTTCTTGAGGATGCAAGAGCTGAAATAAAAAATTTGTATGATTTTAATATTTCTTAATCTTTGTTATTGTATTTGTTAAAACTTGGGATTTTCTTGATGTTGACAATAGCTTTTCTCGTAAGACTGGCTAAAAGCATTGTGTTGTAATGCAGAAAACATTCAAATAGCATTTTTCCAGAGGTTTCAGTTCTCACAGAGGTGGAAAATATAAACCCAGCTGCTCAGTGGTACACAAAAGCAAACACATGGCCAAAAAAGGTACTGGAAAGTCTACAATAGGTGCATGAAGTAACGAAGAACTGTAGCTTATGCATCAAAAGCTTTAGAGTGGAAAAAATTGTAGATAAATTGTTGCTTATTCTTATTAGAAAAAGTGTTATTGGAAATGATATCCAAGATTAACTTGTCAAGAAAATAAAAATCACAAATTGTGCCCACGAAAAAATATTCAGACTCCGATCTCTATTGTTTTCTGCCTTTGTTTTTTTTAATTGCATTTACTAGATAAATTCCACTGCTAAAGACATCTGACTTTTTGCATGAAGTTGCCTAACTCAGAATGAAAGCTTTAAAATTGCTCTTATTGCTCCATCCATTGAAAATCTCATGTTCTTTTGTTAATTTGTAATGGCTGTTTCCTTTTCAGAAAATACTAGGTAGGAGGGTACATTTAATATAGAGTGTTAAGAAACCATAAGCGATGTTTTCAGCTCGGTTCTGCTAAACATTATTCAGTCCACATAAACATTTTTTTAAGAGTGTTATGTTGTTTATGTTGAGTTTGATAATGTGTGTGAACTATGTATCTAATTATTGTACTACTCACATCTTTTTACTTGGTGACCTCTAATTATTGTCAGAGTAAATTGAACTCTTAAGCCTCTACTGTGATACATGTCATTAAGAAGCACAAAATCTTCTGAACGCTTTCAAAATTTTTGCTCTCTTGAGTATTCATTGAATTTTTTTTCGTTTATTAAATCCTTACCTGGTTTTGTAACGTAAGATGCTTGTACTTGCAGGGAGGCTGTGGTTGAATCCCAAAGGGAACACATTGAGGAACTAGAACATGCCAAGGAGATACTTGCGAGTCAGCTAAGAAGGAAAGGAAAGGAAATTGAAGAATCTGTCCTACGGCTGAAAGAGCAAGAAACAACAAGCCAAAGGTATTGTGAAAAATAGAAATCTCCATGGTGGAAGCATTAGAAGATCTATGTCATAATGTTTAGATAGAGCTGTGAAAATTACTTGTTCTGGTAAGAAATATTTGCTTTATTCCTTGTTTTCCCCTTGGTGAAACCAAGTTATAAACTGTTTTACCGATTAGCCATGGATAATTCTAACCAAGGAGATTGTTATGATAATAGGTTATTATGTTTTTTCACAAATAAACAAAGAGGTTCATAATTACCATTTTAGAGAATTCATTTCCAGCTGATTCAAATTCAATTGAAATTCAACTCATTAAATTTTAATAGTCTATTATTTCTTTAATATAATTCTTGGAAATGTTAGATATAGGTCCATAGTGGATAATTTAGTGTTCATTAATACTTATTGATAATTTGGTGTCTACAAATAATAGAAAAATGATGGCCCTGCAAGGGTAGATTAGCAAAATTTTGAAGGAATATGGTATATCTGTGTAGTGAAACAAAGCCAGACAAACGTGCTTGTGGAATGGTTTCACACTAAACCCTCTATTAATTTAATCTCTTTTCTTTCTCTTTCTTCTTTCACTTCTGCAAAAATATATGCAAAATTATACAACTTTGTATGTATTTTCCCTTTTTTGATTGTTTCAATTTCAGCCTGTTACTTTTAATTGTATTAAGGATCTAGTATGGCATGGTCCTGCATTCCTTACACATTTGATTTCAATGGAAGTTCTACTTGAATGAGAAATATGCGGTCAATCCTTTAACTGCCTTTCAAGAGAGGGACCCCGTTATTATGTGTGAGCATTCTTTTGTGCATCAGTAGTGCTACATAAATAATACATCATAATGTTTGCTATTAAATTATTCACAAAGTTGTAAGTCTCCCCTATTCAGAATTTCCTTTATATAGTTTAAATAGGTTAAAGAAGTTGTTATAATAAATAATTTCTCAGTTTGTGCCTACAGTGAATTCAGAAAATATTTAAAATATTTTTTTCATTCTTTGAAAATAATCTGATTCAAATCTCAAAGAACTTCTGTGCTTCATTTTTTTAATCAATAAACAGCGTTCTGTAAGTACAGCAGTCAGAAACTGGACATAACTTGTAAATTTGATATCAGTTGTCCTGTTTCTGTGAAATTTTAAGGCATTTTAAAGTAAAGATACACTTCAAATTCAGCTAAAAATCCTTAAAGTCAGGCTATAAAAAGTAGGTGCAGATCCTTTTCTTATTTGTGTTTATCAAGAACCTACCATACTTGACCTAAGTGTGAATTCATGTTTAAAGTTCTGGAATTATTTCCTTTATAGTCTATTTCTTGTTTGAAACTGGATAAAAGATACATTAAGTATTTAAGATTTACTGCGTTGGACTGAAGATACTGGGAAATAAGCTGAAAATTGTCTACTAGTGCCTATCCAGAATAGCATTGAGTTCTTTAATTTGGCCAGTAAAATACTGTTTGGAAGGCTGCTATTCCCCATGGTGTTTTGGTCTTTGGTTGTGTTTTTTTATGCTGAATGAACCAGAGCCAGAATTTAGAGGGTTACTGTTGTCGCCAGGTTTAACTGTAACCATGGGTACCTATCCCTATCATCTTCAGGAGTTTTTTGTTAGCTTTCCTTCTCAGAGGTCTTATGACTGCTGTCTAGAGCAGGCTGTATTAGTTGTTTGATTACACAAGTAAATTTATAGGTTCTATATAGTTCTTATTTTTTAATATTCTTTGCATCAGCAGGGAAAAAACTGTCAATAATGGAATATTGGAGGAAAAATTGGAAATTTGGGTGACTGATAAGGTCATCTTATTTCGTCTTTGTAGCTTATGTCTTTCAATTTTGGTACAATTGGCAGCTTTTTATTGTATTTTGTAAGAATATGCTTGGCTGTCATCTAGTTATGTTACTACCCAAAGACAATGAATATGTTGAAATTATTTAAGAACTGTAGGGTGCCAAAAGGACATAGTAAATGTGCTTCCACAAACGTTCATGTTCTGGTACCATTTCATCTCAGCCTGGCGTTAACAAAATTAGGTTACTTTCAACCTTTAGGAAAACATTCTTTATTCTGCTACCTGGTTAAGACATTGTTGTGATTGAAATAACTGTCGTTTCCAAGTAGTGAAGCAGCTGCAATTACTAATTACTGATCCATCAGCGGTAAGGGAGGGAGATTCTAGTTATCCTGAGTCCTAAACCCACAAGAAATCCAGTTGTATTTTAAAGCTGCCTTTGCAGCTTCACTACAGTTTCTGTCTAACAACACAAGAGCTGCGTGATGGAGCTGAGTTCATATGCAGTGTACTCCTCGGCGTGATTATTGTTACACGGCTGCAATCAATGGTCTTCTCAATATTTCATTAGAAATTGTTTGGGGATTGTTTCAGGAATATATAATTCCGACTTAATTTTAACTTAAGGGAGAAACCTGGCCTGTGGGTTGTTAGTCTAAACACGTTTTCTTAATTGCATAATTTTAACTGCATTTAACTTGAATGTTTTTAAACCTGGCCTGTGGGTTGTTAGTCTAAACACATTTTCTTAATTGCATAATTTAACTGCATTTACCTTGAATGTTTTTCATTTAAAGATGGCCAAAACCATAATAACCTCATGGTTTGATGTCTATGATACACAGTGTGCAAGTTAGAATATTAAGTCTAAACAATCACATTTTTCAAGCAGCTAGCTTCAAATCAATTAATTGCTCATCATACTTTCCAAAAACATTTTTAAAGCCAGCCCCAAAATGCATTTGTGGAACAGGTACCAGGTTTTTGCGTGTGTTATGGGGTTTTTGGTGTTTTGGATGGTCTTCTAATAAAAAACTTTATTTGCCAGTCAGTTTTAATTCCTTTGGCATCTTTTTGCCATTTTGTTTATTTTGCCAGACAGGGGGTAAGTGATCCTGGAAGTATGGCAGTGATGGTTTTTTACTTGCTTGTTTTCCTTGTTGTGAATGTGAACAGGGAAAGTTTGTGAGCCACGGGTTCATGGGATGCAATAGTCTCCAAGAGCAGTCTCAATATTGTGTTCGTGTCCTGCTCATATGGAAGCAAAGACAAGATGCAAGGGATGTGGTTTAATTAGACCTCAATTTTATTAGCTTAGCCATCTGGGATTTACTGGCATAAATTTGTACAGTGCAGGTCAGGATCCTTTCTTTAATCATTTCCTTCTGGGGTAGGTTGCTCTCAGTCCCCCATTCCCCCGCAGCTGGTCCCCAGCCTGTTATTGGGACCCCCCTATATCTGCTTTGAGTCCAAATGAGAAGAGGTCTGGAGAAGAGATTGGCTCTTTGGTATATTTCAGACATTAACCCCAAACACAATTCTTAGTTTTTTGAAGAGTCACTTTCTCCTAACTTCATTTCCAATTTCAGACTTCTTAATCCAGCTTTAAGAAGAGGTTTAGAGGGGGAGGATGGAGTTTGTGTTCCTTATTTCTGCACTTGCGGCAGAAGACGTGCTAGAGCTAAATCAGAGTGCCCGTTAATTCAGGTTACTGCCTCTAAAGGGGGATTAGTTTCATTTTTTTTTCTTACTTCTGCTGCAGGTTTACCTCCTTGTCTTCAGGTTCTGTGGCAGGATTTTTGGCTTTTTTGGCAATATAGAAATATTGAATAAGCTACGTTAGTACAGCTTTATTCTTATGCATTACTTTTTATTCTTTGAGCAAAATATTGTCTATATCAGTGAAAGGCAGCATTGACTTTTATATCAAATCTGTATATAACCCCTAGTATATCAGAATCCCTGGGCAAATGTTCTGGGAGCAGAATACATCAACTACCTGGGAGGGGAAAAGCTGTTTAGATAATCAATTCCTCTTGTAACTTTGTTGATGGAAAAATGAATCTTCCCAACAGAATCATCCTCAATTAACTTTGTGTTGCCCACAGAATCTGAAATTCTTTTGTTCTTCAGCAATCTTCTTGTCATGCACATAGATGCATTGGATATTTCTTAGGCGTATTTTATTTAAATAAGTAAATAAAATACTGTAGAAGTACTATAGAGAAATTTTCTTGCTGTAGCCTATGATGAGAGCTGAGATTGTGATCAATGTAATGCATTAATAAGAAATTCATGGCACATGCTTTCTGTTGCTAGAAACTTCATGAGATAAAGGCTCTTAACATGGTGAGAGTTTAAATGATCCCAATAAAAAGTAATTTTTCACTTCCAAATTTGAATAATTTACTTTATAACATCAGTACCTCAAAACTGTTTAAATCAAATGCTGTTTCATTCGCTGTTGAAAAAATAGTTAATGTTGATTGTCAGGAGCCATGGGGTTTACATCTGTACATCATAAATTTCACTATCATCTGCTCCTTTTTCTACTTAAAAAGAAGAAAAAAAAAAAAACCAGAAAAAAAGCCCCCTGCTTAAAAAAAAAAAAAGGCAAGGAAAAAAAAAAAAAAAACCCCCCGCTTAAAAAAAAAGGGGGGG